GTAATTCCATTAATCAGCCACCAACGAGTGCCCCTCATACCCTCAGATTTTTTTTATTTTTTAACTGTGACTTGACAAAGACCTAAGAAGTCCAAAAATCAATACTTTTTTTTTTCTTACTCCCCACCTTTTTCTTAAAGACCGTGCAAAATTTACCATGCAGAGTTAACTTTGAAAAATTGTAGTTCTTCTCCTAATCAAGTGATCGTTATCAAGCAAACTGCTAATTGTTAATAAGTCTTGTCACTTTAAACTAACGTAAAAAAAATTAGATATCGATACCGTTACGGGTCTCTGCCAATTATTTTAAAAATTCAATTTTTTTGTAAATAACGTAACTTTATATATTCATATATTCTTAGGGCTACTGACAAACAATTTTTTTTTAATGTATTTTGTTAACCAAGACCTTACTCTATATAAACGCAATAAAGCATTCCAAAATAATATCGGCTTACTGTTAAAAAAAATATATTTTGAAATTCATGTTTCTCAAAATATACTCTTTTTAGCCATTTCAGGAGTCAAGAAGGCCATGTTTGAGTGAGCCGATTTGAACCTACCTAGGGTAGTTATCACAGGCGCTTATTGGTCTCCAACAATCACAAATTAAATTGTTGTGTATTTTTCTTTTAGCTGTCCTGTGAACGCGGATGTCTCCCCTGACTAAACCTATATAGAAATCGTATACTTCGGGAAAGGGTAAAACATGTCTGAAAAAAATTGGTATTAATACTTGAATAAGGTGACAGAATATAAATTAAACAACTAACACACACTTTTCACAAATTTTGTAATATAGAAATAATTATAAACATAAACAACACCTAACACAACAAAACATTAACTGAATTTAATTGAACTAAAGAAAATAATAATTCGGAACTTTTACTTTAATTTAAAAAAAAAAAGAGAAAAACAAAATGTTTTTTATTTACTAATTTTAAAATGAAAAAACTTAGCTGACTCGGAATTTTTTCTGATTTCTATAATGTTATTATCAAGAGGAATAAAGGAATGAAATGTTCGGGTATTTTTTATGTTAATGCAGATTGAAACCTTCTTTCAAAGAACGGTTTTCCTGAATTAATTTCTTCTTGGATGACGAGTGAAAATATTATAGCCTTAATGATCAAAAAGGCTGATCATGTATTGCTCCATTTCGCTTCGTTCTGCAATGACATAGCTGCCATTATTTTCCATTATAACAGAAGGATTTTCTTTATTACAAAGTAAACTAGTGATATGTCACTATGTACGAAGATCCTTACCATATGGTAAAGACGTTCGGTTATTCCATACCCAACTAGCGAGAGCAACTGGACTCCCATCCGAACATCAATTTCAGAACACATAAAAACCTATGTACTATTTTTTTTCTTTTTCCTTTAAGATTAAAGTAAAAGTTCAAAATTTTTTCTCTCGTTCAATTAAATTCAGCCAAGAATTCAGCTTATGTTTTGTTGTGCATGTTGTGATACGTGTTGTTTATGTTTATAATAATTTTTATATTACAAAATTTGTGAAAAGTGTGTCTTAGTTCTTCAATTTATATTTTGTCCCCTTATTCAAGTATTAATACCGAATTTTTTTAGGTTTAGTCAGGGGAGACATATGCGTTCACCGGACAACTAAAACAAAAATACACAACAATTTTATTTGTGATTATAAGAGAACAATGAGCGCCTGTGATGACTACCCTAAGTAGGTTTAATTCGACTCACTCAAACATGGCCTTTTTCACTCCTGAAATGGCTAAAAATAGTATTTTTCAAGAAACATGAACTTCAAAAAATTTTTTTTTTGACACCAAGCCGATATTCTTGTAAAATGTTTTATTGCCTTTATATATAATAAGGTCTTGGTTAACAAAATACCAGTGCCAGTAGCCCTAAGAATATATGAATGTATGAAGTTACATTATTTACAAAAAAAAAAAGAATATTTAAAATAATTGGCAAAGACCCTTAATAGTATCGGTATCTAACATTTTTTACGTTGCTTTAAAGAGACAAGACTTGTTAACACTTAGCAGTTTGCTTGATGGCGATCACTTAATTAGAAGAAGATCTACAATTTTCTAAAGTTAGCTCTGCATGGTAAATTTTGCATGATCTTCAAGAAATAGGTGGGGAGTAAGAAAAAAAAAGTATTGATTTTTGGACTTATTAGGTCTTTGTCAAGTCACAGTTAAAAAATAAAATAGAAATGAGGATATGAGGGGCACTCGTTGGTGGCTAATTGATGGAATTACCCTACAGTATACTCTGTAAGATTATGCACTACTCTAAAACAACACCACTGCGACTTGCATGATACACATAGATTCAAAATTTTGGCATCACCTAGTATTTATACGGAGACATTTTTTAGCAGCAACAGTTTTTTGTGAGCTTCTTTATCAATGCTTATCTTTGTCTAGATTCAAGACAGTTAAATTCTACGAATTCACGTGCAAAGATGCCTCGACAAGTCAGTGAGATTGAGATTCTATTATTCTATTTCTATTGCAATAGGTGAACTTCTTGTACATTTTCATTATTGTAATATATTCTTTATTTGTGAAAGGAGTAAAATATTAATTTATGATGCTAATAAAGTACCTACAGTCACGAGCATTGAAAAGGGGACACCCGATTTTTCCTATTGTAAAACGAGCTCACCAGCTATACCTACGGAAATGACAGGGATTGTCATATTTGACAAAAAATCCATTGTAGCACCGCCTAATTGTAGAGAAAAGACTGATTTACCTACCCAAAATAGCGAAAAAAGACAAGATCTGTCAATCGGGTGTCCCAATTTCAATGCTCACAACTAGTGAATGCAATACCGGGATACCGGGATCCCGAAATACCGGGATCCCGCACGCCATATGCGGGACTGATCTTGCTCATAAACGGAGCGGGATCCCGCCGGGATTTGCGAGATTGAAAAGAACTGTACTTATGGTGTCACTCGGGCCTGGTACGCGCGAACTGGACGACGGATCGTGGTGTGGAGACTGAGAGAAACTTTCTCGCCCTAATTCAAAGTTGTTTACTATTTTTTAATTTTGACAGTTTTGTTCCAACTTTTAATAAGGACGTGTAGGGGTCGCAGTGCAACAAATTCTTAATTGTGGTTAAGTAAACAAAATTTACTCTTTTAAGTAGGCATTCAATTTTAAATAATTAATATTATGTTAGAAACTGTAGCTCTGTTCCAACCGACATGAGAACCGTTCTAGAACGATAATTTCCAGTTGATCAATTCATTTGTCAAGTAGGATGAACTCATTGAAAAATAGGTGGTTAACTGGAAATTACTGATTCTGGAACGGTTCTCATGTCGGTTGAAACAGAGCTACAATTTCCGACATAAATGATAACTTGAAAAGGTGAATTTTGTTAATCTTCAGAATGCAAGTTGTGTAACTGAATAATTGAAACGACAGTTTGCGTTTGCGCAGTTATTTCCAAAATCATATTTAAATATCTTCTGACTTGTTATGTTAATCTTCTAATAATAATGTTCAAATATCTTTGAAAAACATTATTGAATAATTTGATACTTGATATTTGTTCAATTTTAGTCAAAACCCTTTAAATCTGGTACTATATTATGATTCATTTGCAAAGTCACACAGGATTCTGCGGGATCCCGCAAATACCTGGATCCCGCAGGATTGGAAATGTCGAGTCCCGCAAATACCGAGACTGGAATTATCTCGCGGGATTGCATTCCCTACTCACAACTGTACCTGCAACGTCGCTGGTGAACGATTTTTTCCAAAATATCGAACTAAATGCGGTTCTGTGCTCTAAACCAAAAGGAAATAGATTATAGTATAACCCTTTTCTGCGTATTCTCAAATTCTCGATACCTTCTCAATATACATACTGCTGATAGGACGAACTATTATTTATATACCTACGTGAGTAAAAAACTAGATGGAATCAGTGCACACCGGGCATTCTGTCTAGTATGCTTAAAAATTAATAAAACCTAATCCAAATAGGCCCTAGTAGAGGAGAAGGTCTAGCTAAAAAGGTATCTATCTCAAAAAAAAAATTGCGGTTACCAGAATATTTCGGCAAAGAAAAAGGAAGCTGCCAACAACTCTGTCAACAGATAAGGGACAAGTATATAACGAAACAGACCAATAAATAATAATGCCGACAGAGACATTATCGAAGACGATATCGAAAAGGAACAAAATGGAACAAATTGATCATACGGTTGCTCGAGTGAGAGATTTGCATACTGTCGAAGAAATGTTGAAGAATGGTGCAACAGATGCGAACTCTGTACTTCCTTGAAAGGGCCTCACTCGCGGTCTCGAGAAGGAACATAGCAATACTTGTCTAGTTTCCCAAAGTCGCGAGAGTTAGTTCCAATTCCTAATTAACGAACCTTAAGCATTGGATGAAGCATCGATGGAAAACATTATAGGCAGACACGGGGTACTTATGAAACTTCATACCAAGCAAGGGAGGAGTTTTGAGTACAAATTATGGAAACACATGATGGGATTACTGGGAATAAGGAGAACCAGAACGACTCTACTTGAATAAAAACCAGTGAGACCGGAATGAACTGGTTTCTTTTTTTAGTCTGAAGTATTGTTGGTACCTACTTAGTGTTTTCCTGATAGTTTTAATTTAAATTTCTGCCAATAATGTTGTTGCTGCATGCAAATATTCATATTTTTAGAATCCTACACACGTTGACGGCCTCTGGAATCTATAAATTAGTCAGGTTCATTTAAACAACTGACATTCCATTAACATCCAACTCAACAATTTTATTGAGTGACGTGACATAAAATGATCAACAATTTGTAAAAAAATATTGGATTTGTAATTTCATACGGTAGGGCGTTGAAGTTGTATTAACGACTTAATTAAAATTATGCTAAAAACCATTTTACTTTGATTACTGGATTGCATATTATTAGTTACGCAAAAATTCAATTGTTAATGGGTAAAAAAAATGCTAGTAATCAGCATCGCACTTACAAATTTTGTTATCGCTGTTCTCATCATCACAACCGTTATCCTCGTTGCTGTCTTCCCGTTTTTCACAATCAACTATTTCAGGACACGACTTCGAATCATCAGCATCAACACTTCTAACTTCCGCACTAAAGGGTTCTTGTTCCGTTTGATCATCACTTTTGTCATTACTTTTCGAATTTTCTGATGGATGAAGACGTAAGTCGATGCAACCGTGCATCGGCGAAGGGCTTTTTTCTATGTCTGAAATGAGCCAATTTTTTGGTTTTCTACTGAGAAGTTCTTCCGTATAGTCCTTTTCTGATTTAACACTTGGCGAAGAACTAGCATTTTTTATCTCGAAACTTAAATTTAAACATTGCTCGCCAGCGTTGTTATTATTTTCGAATGATTTTGACACGAACTGTGTTAATTTGTCCATGATTAAAACGATAATCTAAAGCTATGTTTAGAAGGATCATGTGAATGAAACTGAATAACCATTTGAAGCTGGGATGGTTTCCATGGATACTATGAGGGTTGCGGTTTCGCCAAACTCCACCCCTAATTATAGCGCAAGCCCCTGCTATTGGGTAAAACCTAATAGGGGTGTGTTTCGAGCTATCACTTTGGGCTGTTGAGAAATTTTCTTGTTATATTTATGGCAAGTCAATAGCTTACTGTAAGTGGCTGACATTTTTTACCACTTGTTTTTCCAACTGCTATAATTATGTAGATTTACGATTATATTGCCGGTCGGCGGACTTATAAAACAAGAAAATGTGTTCCAGGTTCCAGATATGTATGAACTTACTAGAAAAACTATGCAAATGTTCTCATTTTTTGACAGACATGAAATTTATTTTGCACATTTTGTTGCATGTTCAACATCTTCATACCTAAAGACAAATTTGAGATGGCAAACCCAAAGTTTGTTTCGAATATACGGAAAAATTGTTTTTCATAACAAGGTCTTAGAATACCAATTAGGTAGGTATTATTGTTTTATGCATCCACACAATTTTAGGCAGGGGAAGTTTTTCCAAATTTATGAAGTTTTTATTTTTATTTACAAAAAATTTGGGGGAGTTCGTGAAGCTCCGTCCTGCTCCGTCCTTCTCCACCCCATTTGTCTGATACCTACCCCCGATCCGTAATTATTTAGATCGAATATTCGGAAATAGGTGGTCCGGTCAACTGGCATGCTCATTCTCCAGATTTGACTCCTCTTGACTTTTTTTCATGGTGCTTTATAAATATAAAATAATAGCTACTGCACCTACAATTCCAGATAACATAAGAGATCGAATCCTTTCTGCTTGTCTATCAGTGACGTACCTACATAATGTTAGAGCAGGTACGAAATTAATTTCAAGATAAGGTGAGAAAGTGTTTGGAAGTCGAAGGGGGGCATTTTGAACAAATCCGTAATAGATGATATATTGTCACAACCTATTTTGTTGCAACTGGAGGTTTGGGATCTTTTGGGGTTTTAATGAATTAAAACGATAAGTGCCAAAATATTAAGAATAATTAAGTTTATTGATTACAATTTAAAGGGTTGATTAACAGATGAGAACACTAGACATAATTTATAAATGTTGAATAACGGTACTTACCGGAGACTCATCTTTCTGTAGACCGTAGCGTAGCCCGTAGCACAACTTTAGCGCTTGAATTTAGATTTAAAACTGACTCAAAAATGACGCCTTATCGATCCAAATCGATTCAGGATTGTCAGCAAAAATCATTGACCTAAAATCTAGGTCGTTGGCTCTAAGCCTTTTGCTAACATCCTGATGCGTTTGCTCCATTTAATAGGTATAACATCCGTATTGCCCAACTAAATTGGGACATTACTTGTTAATGGCCTTTGGTTAATTCGTATTAAAATAATAATGTTTTAAAGGGTGATTATTTTTGGCTTGACATTGTTGTGACAATATCCATAATAGATGATAAATAATTAGAACTTTTTATGCATTAACATAATTAGTCATAATTCCGTAACCAGTAAAGCAATAGGTCTTTTTTTTTCGCACGCACAGGCCTCTTTTTTTACGTAGATCAGTGTATTGGAATAAAAATCATAGCATTCTGCTACTTAAGAGTTCAATGTTATCCCCCCCCCTCAAAAAAGGGTGGAGAAAAATATTATCAAAAATATCGTGAAATATGGCCCCCCTTGTACTTACTACGTCATCAAAATGTCATAAAAATATTTGAAACCGTTGTCAAGATATCGCATTGTAACTCCAGAGAATGTAACACCTTGAAAAACTCACCCTGCTTGTATATAATATCTTCCTATACGAAGGTAGATAGGTAAATTCAGACGCCTCTCAGAATTATGAAAAAAGAATTTAGTTGCTAGGCATTTGAAAGCAAAAGCTGAGTATACCTAGACCTAGCTTTTAGGTGATATAGGTATGTAATTTTCAAACTTTGTTTAGGATCACACCGCTTTTCATAATTATATATGGTTGGTTGTGAGGAATACACTGTACCTACCTACCTAAAAATATATACATTTTCAAACGTAAGCGATGTTCTATAATCTATTACATACTTTGACGATCGTTTTTAGAGAAAACATATAGAATCTAGTTTCTTGAGCTTTGGCTCGTTTTTCCAATAACGCGATGGTTTCGTTTCTATCGTGGTTGAATCGGTTTGGTCAAAAACAGTGTTTTCTTTGTCAAAATGATAGGTTTGGGGCTGCTCACTACTACATCGCTTATTTGGGAAAGCAATTCGTGCAGAATAATTCTCATTCCAAACGTGGTTAAAACGGTTCGGGGCGATTTTATCCTGAACTTCTCCAACGCATGAGGCACAAGAAAAGGAAGCATTCATCAATGTGGAATCAGGTCGCCATTAGAGACTGGATCAAAATGTTATTGATGTAATGTTGATATATTGATTATTCTAACACTATCAAATTTGTTAGCTTCAATACCTAATGCTATTCAGCAGTAAAGAAAAATCAGAGAATAAAAAGCACAATCACCTTTTCTTTCGACTGAACTGCATCCCATCCAAAGCTCCTGTTCCACAAAGATACAAGTGTTTTTCGTAACTGTTGTAGCACTTTCAAGCACAAGCGTTTCACAGAAAATTCTTGAACTCTCGTTCGGTCGTTGTTACAAGCAACAATTTGGTCCGCAACAAATATTACAGTTACAGGTTGCAGCGTGCTAGTTTCAATATATTAGGTGACATAAACTTTACCTCAAAAAATATTTTCCAGTAATTCAGTAGAGCAAGACTATTCCATTGCCAAAAAATTACCGTTGCATTTACAAAATATGTTCGGAACGACTTGATGAAATTTTCGCTTGACAGTCAATCCATTAGAGTGATTCATGAAGTAGCACGTCTGCAATATCGCCAATATCCTTACGAAGTTGTTCATTTTGTCCATTTTGAACAGGTTAAAACTAAAGCCATCATCAATTCGGTACTCTGACTGCCATCGTGTATATGTTAAATGAATTTTCAATTTCATGCGCTTCTCAAAACTATAAGTAAACAATGGAGCTGCGAATTGAATGAAAAAAGTTGGTGATAAGTTTCAGGGATTCATTTTGTCGAGGCGTGGATTTTCACTTATTACTTACACGACAAATATCGAATTAAAACTGACGTAACTACAACAATCAACAAAGCTCTAGACTAGACTGACTCAAATTATTTCTTCGCTTTATTTATGTAGTCGAAATTACACTCGGAATTTAAATAGGAAAACATCGAATCGAAGACACTAGAATTCCAAGAGAAAGTGCACTGCCCGACGTAAACAAGTGACTAATTTAATTTCTTAGAATCCTGGCGCCTCGATGTCGATGTATTTTCGTAACACTGCCTCCCTCCTAAATCAGATCGTCCCAATCTGACTTGAATACCGAGACGGACTACCTCCTCTACTTCCTCTATATCTCCACTCAGATCCATAATGACTTAATCTTTTCTCTTACCTAACATCACTATGCCTGTCTACGTGGACTGCTACCTGAACGCAGCGCTTCAGACCGTTTGGCCTTCCTGACTTCTCACATCTACCCTCATGTATGTTTGGCTCTTCTTTTCTTGAATTGACATCATGAATACTAGATGAATGGCTACCTGGTCATGTTCCCTGTTGATTGTTTCTGAAACCCTTTCGCATTTCTGTTGCTGCTTCCGGATAGGCCAAGTTAATCAGACGGCGTATGTCGGTTTCAAATTCTTGTAGGCTTTTTGCTGCTTTTTGTTGCCTTGTTCTTAGTTGTACCTGGTAAAGCTGCCCTCGGTGTTGATCTTCATAACGACGCTCAAACGCATGCATCGACAAGTGCACCATAGTTTTGTTGGGAAGCTGGCGGAAAAGTCTCTAATAGGTCTAAGGCAGGGTTACGTAATGCTACAATCAACCCTGTAGCCATGTCATCGGAGCTCCAACCATAAGCCATCGCAGCAGTCTCGAATTGACGTCTGTACATCGCCCATGATGTCTGCCCGTCGTAGGGTGGTGACTTAACTTTGATACCAGGAGCAGGCGAGGAGGAGATATTTCCTGATCTCAAGTCACATTTCAACTTTTTGATTTTGTTTTGAACACTATCCATTTCTTGGCGGAAAGTTCTAACTTCCTGACAAACAGTTCCAGCTTCCTGATGAACTTCGTGACGTAGGTACACTCCGAACTCCCAAACTTTTAATATCATCAAATAAGACATCAAGTCTGACTGTCTGTCTGTATACACGATAACTTAAGAACGCCCGGATTTTAACCAAATTTGGCACAAAAATCCTATAAGCATGTCATGAACGAACCCTATTAATTTTGGATAGTGTGGTGGATGGGTAAGCGGGATGAAATCTATTAAAATCGTAAAATTTTCAATTTTTTAAATTTTATTAAAAATAGGTATGATATTTGGGTCCCAAAAAATTATGTCTACGTCAAATCAATTTTGGATGTGGTGGATGGGTAAGGACGGGAAAAGGGGGATAAAATACTTGAACTGCCTAAACTGCTATTTATACAACATTTCATTGTAGGTATAGTGGACTATTCGTGCTTTCGAGAGCACCATTTTATTTTTTATGGGAACAGCAAAATCGAACAGAAAACGTTTTTCGAATAACTCAATTTGAAACGGAGAATTTATTTTGGATTTCGAATTTCAATCTTCATAACTTTTATCCAAAATATTTGTGAGGTTGTGCTTTGTGGTTGTGTAAAAAGAATCGCGTCGTGCCAGTGTGCCTGGCTTCAGAAGTTATATTTTATGGGATTGCCTATAAAACTGGATAATTCGT